TGGATAAAAAAAAAGAAAATATTTCAAACATTCCAGAAATAACACAGGCAGTTCCTGAATTACCACCGCGTTAATGGAGACTGCTCCGCTGGCAAGTCACCGAAATCTGCCGTAATCCCACAAAAATCAATGCAGCAGTAGCGCTGCCAGCCTGCCATAACGTCGGCATCTTCTCGGACTCCGGAGCAGCGTTTCTTCGAGGATGCTCGGCTGCAGCAGCAACGGGGGCCGCGATGGTGAGCACACGCTCACCTCTCAGCCCGGCCCTGCGGCCATCACCATCGCCACTTAAAATCAAGATACGAGCGTTACCGCACCAAGAACCATCAGATCCAGGACCGAATACAGCAGGAAAAAAATCATGCAACCTGCAATCCGAGCGCTAACTCGCCTTTTCTACCCCAAACAAAGCTCTTACTTCCCTCCCTGGAGAAATTTTTGAGCCTCCCTTTCAGCAGGGTTAGGGCCCGTCAGAACGACGGCAGGACTCATTTCACAGACAAGCCCATCTCCCCTTACTTCTTGCCTTTACTTCAGACATGACCTTTTGATTTCTCGGGTAGAGTGTAAATTACATGTCGCCAGCATAAAATATTAAATCCAATTTATATTTAATTATTGATGTTATTATGTATTCCATAGTAATGGCAGCAGGAAAAAAAAAAAATCCACCCCACCATTAAATAGCTCGGTTGCATTAGCAGCTTCTTGAGGTTAGATATCTTCCTCCGTTCCTTCTTAACGGTAAGATTGATGGGTATGGGCAAGTTTGTAAATAGTCTTCCAGAAATATTTTATCTGATTATTGTACCTATAAAAGGGAGCGGGGAGGGGGGAGAAAAGGCCTTTTTAAACCGCTACTAATTATTTGCTCAGCTAAAGGGCAAACAGCTCGGCGAGCTGCGGGCATCTAATGCTCTCCAGCAACCCTACTGGAGGTCGGCAGCCCCAACAGCCCCCGTAGGCAGGGACGGGGCCATGGAAACCAGCCTGGGTTTAAGAAAAAAAAGGCGGTGGAGAACCACAGTGGTTTTTTCCAGCTGAGATTTAACCAGTATGTTAAACATGAGTTTGACATTTTTACTAAAATATTAATCAATTCTGTTTTGACTTGATTAAGCTAATTTTCTCCCCATATATATTTAATGTCAAAGCCACCCAAGGCGCGCAGGGCTTCGTTGCTTTGGTTTTGCTCCTGTGGTCCTCACGTGGGATGAAAGGGATTTATGGACATCCAGCACGGACCAGGCTCCCAGCGGGGAAAAGCTCATCCCACCACCCCAAAGCGCTGCAAGGTGGAACCACCCAAATCACCTTCACCACCCACCACGGCAGCTTCACATTCGCCGTAAGGCAAGAATAATTCAGTTTATTTCTGCAGTGCCCACGCCCCCTGCCAGCGTCCTCGGTTCCCCACTCAGCACAATAAAAACAGCATTATCCCCCTCACTTAAAATTCAAATCAATAGACCAAATGGAGAGAATCCGACTCTGAAAAGCAAAGAGAAATAATTCATCTGGGGACTGACAGCAGGCCGCTAAGTGCTCGAGTGTCACCGTGCTGGGTGACAAACTTCGGGACCGGCCAAGCTTCGGAGGCGAGGGGGAAAGTTTCTCCAGCCCAAGTACATCACAGAGCTGCTCCCATAAAAGAGCCTTGTTCAAACAAATAAGCGGGTTCCTTGATATCCTCCCCCCCCCCATTCAGAGGTTTGGCAGAGCCAGGGGAGCAGCTCAGCACGGCCCCGTACGCCGGCTGCAGATGATGCTCCAGCAGGAGCTGCTGGGCTGAACCTGCACATGTAGTGACATCCAAGTGCTCTGCAAGTTTCTCTCTGTTTCCTGAGCTATCGTCTTAAAAGTCAAAACTGTCAAGCACGTTACGTCAGTGTTTCAAAATAAAGCGCTCCCCCTTTTTGATGAAGGCTTTTTTTTTTTTTGCACGTAGAAATGCTTCCTTAGCAGCCTTGTAAAGCGGCCCAGAAGCCTTTTCCAGCCAGCCCAGAAGAAAACACTTTGAATTTTTTTCTTTCAGTTAGCTGAAAAGCTTTGCAGGTATTTCCAGGGAGCCAAATACAAGACTAGCTGCCGGCCACCCCATCCCAGCACTGCGCAGAGACACCCTAAAACTGCTGGGCCAGAGACCACAGGGGACGACCTGATTCCTCCTCTGCTCCCCAGCACCAGCCCTGGGCCAGGGCAGCCCAAATTTTGCTGCCTGCCAGCCCTTGCTTTTCCCAGGGCTCTGACACACGGGGACCCTGAGCGTATCATGGGGTATTTCAGCATCACGACAGCTCCAAGGAGCAGCAACGGCTTTTCAAGACTCACGTTTGCCAGCAGCCCCGCGGCAGTTTGCGGAGCAGCCGAAAGCCCCCTCCACCGGCTCTCCAGAAAGATGCTGGCGTGCAGCACAGCCACAGTCCCGAGCAGCCATCACCTCCCCTCCCTCCCACCGACTGCAGCTCATTAAGCCCTAATTGTCTCCACCCCGTCCCGCTGGAGCTGCCTTGTGGGGCAGCTCAGGTGCCAGGTGTTTGACCCTGCCTCTTGGCACCCCCCAAATTGTGCCATAGCTCCAAACTGCGGGTCTGGGCTTCATTTCTGAATCCACAGGACCCCCAAAGGGACTTAAGAAGGGGCCAGACTGCAGCACAGCACTGACTTTGCACCCTTCCTACCCTGCCATGATGCACGGGAAAGGAAAATTTGCCCCAAAGGGAGCAAGGGGCTGAAGCTGCCTCCTGCAAGCCCAGGGGATGTGCTGGCTCCCGGAGCACAGGAGCATCCACCCATGCCGGGCAGCTCTGCAAGGGCTGCAGGGTCCCAGCGCTGTGGTGGGGCCGGAACCGAGGGAGAAAACAAGAATATTGGGTCTTTAAATTTATTTAAATGCTCAGGTCTGGACTTCTCCCAGGTTTCTGGCAGGATGGAGTGGCTGGGAATTTCAATGCCACAAGATCCCTTTGTGTCCCAGCGCCCGGACGCTCCCGGCGACAGCCCCTTCCCTTTCAGCAGCTCCTCGTTTCAAATATAAATTATCCCCCTCTCCCGGGGAGCTCGGCGAAGGCGACCCGTCTGGGGAGGCAGCTCTGCCTGCCCCAGGCTGGGCTGTGAGCGGCAGTGAGCGATAAGCGCGTCCGGCCATGGGAAGGCGAGCGATCGAGCATCTTCCTCCCACCCCACACCGTTGGCGGGGTCTGCCCAGCTCCTTGCACAGCGCAGCCTGGATCCAACCCCTTCACGCTTCTCATCACAAGTGTCCACTTGTTGCTCTTTTTTTTCTTGCTTTAGCTTCCCCCCACCACCACCCCCGGGGCCCAGCAGCAGGGCAGGCAACCCCTCCACTACACCATCACCCAGCCCCACTTTGGTGCCTCCCGTGCCGAAACCCTCCCATCCCGCTCGGCCAAGCAGTTCGTTATGTTATTTATTAAAGTAAGCTGTCATGCCTGGAGGATTTCTTTTCTTTGCCATATCTTTAGCAGTAAACGCCACTGGGAGAGCTCAGAAGGCCATGTCAGATCGAATCAGCTTCTGAACAGGCTTTTTTTTGTTCCTTGCCCCCCTTGATTTCGACCGATCCCTCTTTTCCATTCCCAGGAATGAAGCAAGTGCTGTGCTACACCCGTGCTGCTCCCGCTGCTACCTGGGCACCCTCAGCACCGCGGTGCCATCCATGCACCGGCCCGGGCACCCAAATGTCTTAATTACCACCCCCCTGCTAACAAGCATGGGCTTTTTATCCTATTCAATTACCCTCTGTGATGCCTAAATCAGTTCCAGTAGATTCCTCTGCCTGGACCTCTGATCGGGCAGCATCGATTCCCTAATCACGTTTGGCCACGTCCTAATCTCCACATTTACTTTAATGGACATTTATATATATGAATAATAGCACAGCCCATCATGTTTCTCAGAAATGCTCAGAGAGCCCCCAGCAAGTGCCGCGCACGGGCGTCAGGGGCCGACACAGCCCCGCGTCACGGACCCAGAGGGATTTCTATGCCTAAAAATACACAGCCTGGATTATTTTTTAATTTTTTTTTTTTTTAAAGTTAAATGCAACTTAAAACCATAGGAACATTAAAAGACAAGGAAAAGCATATTGCTCAGCCAATGCCAGCAATCGTATACCTGTATCGTTCTTCAAAAAAATGATATTCAATCCTTGCCTCTCCTTTTGGTTGAGCAGAAAGAAGAGCATCCACTTTCATTACCACCGCCGCGCCGGGCTGACGCCTCCTGCCAAGACGCCGCTTGTAAACAACAAGTGAAACAACTGTCGGGGAGGACTCGGCGTTCCTGCTCCCCTACACGGGCTCACCTCGGCCCCAGGTGGCCGGGAGTCTGAGAGAGGTGGTGGAGGGTGCACGGCTCCCTCCAGGAGCTCCGCTTTGGGAACCCGGCAAGGACAGGATCAAGCCGCCCGGGTTTGGGGGAGCAGCCAGGGAAATGCTGCAGCTCGGAGGGAAGCAAAAGGCAACCGGCCCCGGCTTGGGTTTCGAAGGGAGGAGAGCTGGCAAAGGGAGACGGATGGGGAGGCTTTAACGAGCAGAGCTAAACGCTCAGGGGGGACTCGTAGATCACGCTTGGGCTCAGCTCGGCCCCGCTGCAAGGGGTGAGCGCAGTCTGCATCCCGCTCGCTCCGTACAAACCCATCTGGGCTCCGGAGGCTTCCCGGGATGAAGACGTTTCCCCCTCTCCCGCCTCCTCGGCTAATTTTACTCCGTCTGGCCAGAGCTCGCAGCCCCTGGTTCTCGTTACGCCCCCCGCAGCGCACCAGCACAGGCACGCAGCATTTTTGCAAAGTTACAGGGTAGCAGAAATATCCTTGTTTTGTTTTTCCTTTGGCCACTCTGTCGCGCTTCCAAAGTTGGGAAAAAATTACGAAGTAGCAAGAGGGGAAAAAAAAAAGCACCCCACAAACCCAACCAACACAGATTAGACAAATGCATAAATAACCTCTGTTCTTTGGGGGTTGATCACGCTCCAGAGCGGAAGAAGGGGGAGGACAGAAGGAGGGAAGAAATTCAAAATCTAAAAAATTGGAGTTTGTTTATTAAAAAAAAAAAAAGCCCAAACCCGCACACGCGGTGACGCCAGCCCCGGCCAGCCCGTCATGCTCCATCCCGGCGGAGACGACCCGCCCCACCACCAGCCCCAACCGGGGGTCCCTGCCCCGCAGCGGGGGCCTGCTTGGGGGGAAAAAAAAATCCACATTTCCTTCTCCTTGCCGTTCCTGGCAGATCCGCCCCGGCACTTGCTTGGATGGGGCACAAGAGCACGTCCCCACCTCGTGCCACCACGCTGAGCCCTGGACGGGGCAGCACAAGGGAGGGAGACGAGAACGAGCTGAGGGTGATTAAGGGCATCTGGGAGAGACGTAAAACGTCAGCAAGAAGGAGAGCAGTGAGGTCAAAGAAAAGGGAAGGCACTGGCATGGGCAGGAGGGGGTCTGGCCCCAAAAGGAGGGCAAATAGCGCTGGTCAGAATGGCTAAATAGGTGCTTGGAGCTGTACCCGGGACAGGGGGCGAGCTGGCAGCAGCAGCAAGCAGGACCAGGAGCCCTTACCGGCCCCCGCTAAGAGGGTGGGCCCTGCAGAGCCGCTGGGGCCACGGCAGCCCAAATTTCTGCACATAGCACATCCGAAAAGCCACAGCCCCAGGTGCCGAGCGGGAACCTGAAACTGAGCTGCAGCGGAGGGAACCGGGGGCAACGCTCAAGCCCTCAAGGTTTTCATCGCAGCCCTTCCCCGAAGGGAAAAAACACGTGGGACGGAGGGTATAAAGCACAAAACGCCATGTTTTCCCCCAGAATGTAAGAGTTGAAGCCATCACACCCCTGGCTGCTGGGTGGAGGGGTGCAAGGTGGGCGCCGGGAGGAAATCGTCCCAGCGGCGGGTGAGGAAGCTGCGGGGCCGGGTCTGGATCCGGCACACGGTCCTGGTTAACACATGTCGCAAAACTGAAAGCCAAATGGAGAAGGAAACAGAAGGTGACAGTAAAGATACCGTGACTAACGGGATCTTCCAGGGCCAGTTAGAGGAACTGGCTTTGCCTTGAGGTGGTCGGGGATGTGCTCGAGAGCTACGGGCGGCCCTGCAGATACCATCGAAATGCCACCCAGGTGGTTACGAGAATGACAGATAAAGGCGGCCGAGCAGGAACAGATTTGCAGAAGTGACACCCTCCGGGGCTCAGCACCAGTCTTCGGCCGGGCTTGGTGGTTTCTCTGTTTATTCTCCCAGCGAACAGCTACGCCCCAGCTCCCACGCAGCCGGAGAAGCCTTCCCAAATCCAGCCCTGGACTAGCACCCTTTGAGGGTTTCCTAACCCCGACCGAGATTTCGAGGCAGGCAGAGCGTTGGTGCAGGGGTGCATGGCATCAGCATGCCCCTAAAATCCCCTGTTGCCAAAAAACCACCTTTGGGTCCTGCAGTTAGATGCCTTTTTACCACATTCAAACGCCCAAATATTTTTGCATCAGTGCATTTTTTGTTTCGTACATTTATCATCTTGCACGAAGGAGGAAGCGACCGCTCAAGGTGCCTCCCAAAACAAGGGGAAGGCATTTGCACCCCCCCAGCAAAGACCAGTATCCCCGAGCCCTCCCAGCACCCATGGGTGCCCCCAGGCGAAGGATGCTCTAGGCAGCTCTCACAGGAGCATCTCCC